GAGAGAGAGAGAGAGAGAGAGAGAAACGCCCCGTGGGCGCGTGTTAATTTATGTTACGTCGCGAGGTATACGCGCGTCCTTCGGGTATATTCTAGTACTTTCGTCGCACGGGCGAGCGCTGAAAACGACGCTCACTACCGATCGTCGCGAAGCGCGCCTCGAAATGTCCGCCGAGGGTGTCTCCTTTGGAAACGGAGAGGATTCTGTCATTCTACTTTTGCGATTCGTCTGCTTCCCCCTTCCCGTTCGCTCCCCCCCCCCCTCGGAGCGGCGCACTTGGCGCGGTTTTAATCGTTTTTTTTTTTTTACTATGTGTTAGGGATATTCTATTTTTCAAAGTTTAACTTTGTCGCGCAGCGATTCCCCTTCAATTCGCTGTGGTATAGTGACGATCGACGCCTGTATTATCCGACGTCCATATGTGTGTATGCGTGTGTGTGTGTGTGTATAGCTAACAAAAAGTTTCGCGCAAACTCAAATCTATTGAAGCTATCAGCTCGAAGGGAGGGATATCAACTTGGCACCCTCCGTAAGCGTGCACACAGAGGAGGAACCCGCGGCCGTCTATAACTCGCGGTTGAAAGGGAAAAAAACAGAGGAGCAAAAGAGAGAGAGAGAAAGAGAGAGAGAGAGAGAAAGAAATTGCAACTACAGTGGGAATCTTGAATTTTAAACTTTCCAAATCTATACACAAGCTGCTCGCGCACTCCGCGTGCGGCAGAAAGAGCGCGCGCGAGCAAAGCTCTATAAAAAGTCGCAGCGCCGACTTGTGCGCTCGTGTCGTCGGGACGACGGGAACTTTCGCTCGGCGGAATGATCCGAACTGAGGCCGAGTGTCTCGACAGAGGCAATTTTGTATAAACAAAATCGGCCGCGCCAGTGCGATCGATTCGCGACGACGACGACGCCGACGAGCGCGGTTTTACGGCGCGAGCGAGCGAGCGAGCGCGTGGGGTGCTTTCCGCGGCGCGCAGTTTACTTTAAACGACTATTACGTTCGACGTTAAAGCAAATGTAAGGGCACGCGCCGTAATCGATACTCAACGGCTACTTAAATCCGAACACGAAAGCTCGCCCCCGCGGCTGGCGGCGCGCATGTAAATACGACGCGCGCGGATTCGGGATAGCTTTTCACTCCAACTCGCTATCAAGCGCGGTCACGACACCTGGATCACGAATGCTTCGCCGCGCCGCGGACAACCGAGCCATTTGCCCGAGAGTAATGACCTGCTGATACTTACTTCGATACTACCGAAGTATCGTTACTTCGTGTACTTGACTAGTTGGCCCGAACACAAGAACGCGCTTGCAAACTTATATGTATATTGTGTGCGTGTGTGCGCGCGCTCGCATGTTCAAGACTTGCGGACTTACGTAAACTTGCTATACTCCTACATACACGGTGTAATTGCTCTCGACGATTCACCGTCCGTTTCCTTCCACCCGCCTCTCAGAATCCGAACTGACCGATCCTCGCATTCCCGAAATTTCTTCGTTTCCCTCGAGCGCCACCGATCGCGGATCGTGCGCGCTCCGAAGAGCGTAGCAGAAAAAATTCATACGCTCAAATAATGCGCCGCAAGTACAAGTTGCCCCGATTCCTCGCTAAGTGACTAACTGATGCTTTGATCACACGTCTGTCTGTCTTCGTCTAAATTGAAGGAATAAACAAAGACAAACGTATGACTTAACGATCAGTTAACCTACCAAGAAGTTGGAACAACCAGCACCCGGGAGCATCGCGTTGAAGAAGCTAAAGAGCGCCGGCGAAGGTAACGTGCGAGAAATAAGAAAATCGCAGAGTCGACTCGTCCGGCTTCTGTACGCGTCCGCGGCCTACAAAGTCCGCCGCGTCGATTCTCAAATGAGTATATAGAACAAAGGGACATCGATGAGTCGTTATTGCCCAAGTGTGCAGCGCAGCCGCCGCGTTGGCTCGTTATTACCACGTCTTACGACCTGGCTAATCGGCCGCGATCGCGAACGTGTCCGCGCGGATTAACAGGGCGCTCGCTGTCGCTGCACCCGTTACTGTTTAATATAGCGCGGGAACGCCACGGAGAACGGTATTATACAGGCAGCTCGAGAGAGAGAGAGAGAGAGAGAGAGGGAGAGAGAGAACACGATCGCGCGTGAGCGGACACCGGCCACGCGCGCCATTATTCGCGTATGAGCGCGGAATATGCTCGCCTGCACCGCTAATGCTCCGTTGCGTTGCATTACACAATGTGTACGGCTACTTGTACGCCGACGATTCGTGATCCGCGATTCGCGTACACCCGACCGGGGGTGGGGTGGGGTGAGGGGTGAGGGGGACTACCTCGCATGCAAATTCCTAGTCGACGAAAGTCGAGCACGGGTCGCAGCTATACCGACCATCGCTTCCAACTGGGTCGCGTTAGGGACCCTAGCTAACATCTCCGTTGTTTCTCGCCCTTTCCCTCACGAGAGATCGAGGACTAACTTTTGTCTAACGGGGCTTGCGGTTTACGATAAATTTCCGCGAGAATGTACTCTCGCACGTTGCGGTATTAATGATACATGATGAAAAAGATAATCTAAACAGAACTTGCTCGGATTTAGAACGTCGCTGAGTAGGCCTCGCCGGTAGTGTGATATTCGGCATTAATCGTGCGTGTAACTCGTACACTATGTCGCAAAATTATTAGCGTGTTCTCGGGTTTTAATTGGGCTTGGGAAAGGTGACACGAAAGTGTCCTGGTTGTGAGAATCTTTCGGCTAATCAACGAGTGGGAGAATATCGTGCAAATCTCGTCTGTTTAAATGCGTAATAAACACGTGTACGGTGTGTGTATGCGTGTGTGTGTGTGTGTGTGTGTGTGTGTGTCAATTCATCGATTTGAGAACAGGTCAGCCACGTACTGATCTTTCTCGCTACAAGCTTCAGAGTCTCTCGGTATTATTAAGATATCGCATCTTCAGTTCACCGCCGCTAAGTTGTTCGCATATTGTTCGCAGTCTCAAGCAGCGGTGTGTGTTGTAATCACTTAACTCTCTATTCGCCGGAGATCAATGCGATTTACTATTGCATGCACTACGTAACACGATATACTCTGCGAGTGTCGAAACTCACCACTCTCATTCGCGTTGATATCCATCGATGTTTCAGGCAGGTCCGCCCGCGCCCAGTCGGCACCCACTGACGAAACTCGCCGTCTCGTGCATCCAGGACTGCGTCGTTCCGCATCCGTAAGTCCTCTCAGTCTCTACTCAGCGGCGTAGTCCCGCGTCGGTTGCACTTAACACTGCACTCGCGACGCGATCCACGCTAACGTTAGAACGACGGCTGTCTCGGCGGCGATTATGACGGGTTTCGCGCGATCTACCGACTCACCGACCGGGTGAACGGAGTCGAAATCCGTGTATTTGAGAGAAATGTCGGTCGCGATGCGGTAAAAGTTTCCGATACGTTAAACGTCACGCTCGCGCGAATGCGTCGCGCATCGCCGGTGTCCTCGGCGAAATCGAAGATACGAGAGACGAGGTCTCGCTCTTTTCGGCTTTCCCGTCCTGCGAGTTCGCGTCTTTGACGCGATTCGACGCACACTCGCGGCGCGAAACGCGGCTAGCGGAAGATCAGTCGCGAAAAGCGCGCGCGCAATCAAGACCCGCGAACAAAGCGAGCGCGATGCGCGAATTAAAGACCGACTGCGAAACCCGGCGCGGCGGGACGCGCAGACGAAGCGATCGCGAGCGGCGTGAGATTTTCACGCAGGATGGCTTCGCAACATTTGCGCGAAGACTGTTCCGCGACGACTGGCGCGCGCAGAGATTGCTCCGCAAATTGCTGCGGAAACACAGTTTCGCGGTACCTTCGCGAAATTCAATACCGAGATGTTCTCGCGTGTGTAATCTCATGCTATTCGAAATTGCCCGAAAACCGTAATCGCGAAAACGCGCGAGAAAGAGAAGAGTGCGAGTATAAAACAGCGGGAATTAGAAATCGCTCCCGAAAACTATCCGCATACGCGTGTGCGTCAGCAAAATGTAATCAATATTTGACGGTTAAGCGCAACGCGTAATTAAAGGACGCCGTTTTTGTATGACTCTGTTTTGCGTGAGGATCCGATAATACGCGCGTATCCGACGCGCGGGAGACTGCATAAAAAAAAAGCTCGAAGCTACACTCTGTAAACGTCGCGCCAAGGTCACTGATTCGGTTATATCTTCGTCGAGTAAAATAATCGCGGGATCGCTAATTCACCGGAGCTTACGCGACATTGAATGTAATTGATCGGAGCTCGGTCTTACTCACGACATGCAGCCGTGATGTCGAAGAAAATTGCGCGAACGAGAAATTTGGAAAATTCCGCGACGAAATATTCGCCAATTCGGCGCACGGTGGCGCCGAATTTTGCAATTTTGACGCGCTTTACGCACCGCTCGAGACAATCAGAGTGTCGCACAATCAACGGATAATATTGTCGAATAATTTCTTGTACTTTGAACCAAATGTGACAAGAGTGTGGAAACATTTGTAGATAAGCATATTTATGAGAAAGCAAGAGCAAGTATATTCTAGAGAGCGGCGCGTATTCGACATTTTATAAATCTATCGAATATGGAGAAAAATGAACTCTCCTGATTGTTTCAAGCAGTGTGTTTTGTTCAACGACACTTGTGCGAAGATCTACCAGTAAATCGCATTGAGATTTCCGTAGGCGACGACCATCACCTAAAATCTTTGTATTACATTTTGTTTCTTTCCGACTCACCAAAGCACCGCTGATTCAGGGCCGGCCACGTTCCGCAGCGAATCTAAAACAAAAAATATAGTTTCCCCGATTAGGCAGTAATTAATACGGTCGGGCCTGATGCAAAAAGTGCCCGTAGACACGAGCGCGTTGGTTCTTTACGATCGATTAGTACACAAGGATCTTTACTCCGTGACGTATGAACATCTGAATTTTCGGTCGCAAAGTAGTTAAGCAGAGGAGCGTGTAGGAATGTTTATGAACCTACCTTCGAGCCGACCCTGCTTGGCCCGAACCGGACCCTCCGGTGCTGCATCTGCATCCGCCGGAACTGCATCCTCCGGTCCCTTGCATCTGCCGTGCGGCCGCGAACTCTGGCAGATCTGAAATCAAACACAGTTTTCCCGATTAGTTACACTTGGCAGCAGGCTAACTCGATATGGACGAGTTAAGAATAGGAACGCGATCTCCGTTCGCGAGCTCCAGCTTGAAATCTAATAGAAATGGAGATTTAATGGCGAAATAGTTTAGTTACCTGTGCGATGTTTCACCTTGCTGCCGATGATGCTCGCGACGATCCCGAGGCACACGACGATCGCACACGGGCGAAAGTATCGTCGATTTGCTACGAATCAGCCCGTTTTTAACTTGGAAAGGTCAAGAGCAACGTACGACGCGCTTCAGTGTGTTCGCCTCCGCGCCCGAAACTGTTATGATTCGCGATTGAGAAACAAACTCGTATATATATATATATATCATTCCGTACACAACGCGTATGTAATGTTATTGTCCGCATGACCTTTCCAGCGCGTTTAGATAGAGCAACCGTCGGCGTACCGACGCACTTCCGCACGCGTTGTCACGCGACTGTTGTTGATTTTATTCGGACAATTAGTGATAATAATTTTTCCGCCGGGAGGTGTGACCGATGTGTGTTTCAATAATTTGGAGATGCATGATCGTGTTATTTTACGGTGTTAATATTATTACAATGTTTCGTGATATTTAATTTAAGCGTTAACGTCTGACGATTGAATTGATCCCAATTTTAATCTAATATAAACAATCGTAATTACTTTTTCACAGAGCGATATTAAATACGGTATTTTTTCATTATTTAATGAAACCGCTGCCTCGCGATATTAACGTCGTACAATTTCGTGGCGCATAATTTTTCAATACGCGTTCCGTTGTGACTTCTCAGTCTTGTATTTTTACGGCAATTAGGCTTAACGTGCAACGCAAATGAGCTATTAAGCTTTTTTGTCAATACGAATTAATGAGATTTATTATTTGCTGATTATACATTGAATCGGTAATCCGTCATCGTGATAGTTTTGTATCCGAGAGCTCAGAAAGCGACGTGTACGATTATGAAATACTAGCAATCTAATTGCATTGTATATTGAAGCTGTTTTGTCGGCACATGAAACGATTATCGAGCAATACGATTCGCGATGACTATCACTCCCAATTTGGTTCTAATAATCGATATAATAATTACTTTTCTCCAACGCGGAATTAAAAGCGGTACTCCCGCCGTTGATTGTTTTCAGAAAACGACGCAAGTTTTTACGCTCGAAATCCGCGCGAAATTTTATCAAAGTCGCACGTGCGCTCGACGCGATCCGACGTCTTTATTCCCGCGTTCGAGGCTGTTATGACTTGCGATTGAGAGACAAGCTTATATACATAACGCGATGTTATTGTCCGCGCGACCTCCCGAGCGTGTTTATGTCGGGCGACTTTTGACGCGCCGACTCGCTTTCGAGGGCATCGCTACACGATTGGCTTCCACCATTCGACGACTGCTATATTCTATGGTGTCAATATCACGCGCTATTTTATGATACTTCATTTCTCGGCACGCCAGTTCCGACTCGACAAACGTTACGACGTTTGATCGTCGCGCAGCTGTTGATTGTTAAGGTCCGACGATTATCGAGATTCACGATCATTGGATTAACGATTTGTCAATTAGAATTCTAATTTTTCACCTAATAATTGGCAGTGGCGGATCACTTTTCTACAAAATGCTATTAGACACAATATTTTTACCGTCGGACGTTTCCAGAAAACGATGCGCGGCATGCTTTTACACCTGGAAATAATTCTCGACGCTCGCGACATTTTATTAAAGTCGCGCGCATCACTCTCGTCGAACGATTAATCGGTTAAGGGGCTCGTAAACGCGCGCTATAAAAATTCCGTCTCGCCGCGATAGAAGCAGTTGGTGTGTTTTTACTTTCATCCGCTCGTCCTCCACCATTCTCTCGTCCCTCATCCTCAGACGGTAGGGACGGTTCCCGGAAGTCGTACTTCGAAATCGCTTCCACGGAGAATTCTTTCGATCTTAAGGGCGAATTCTGCCGAGCGAATCGGGAATTATTCGAAACGACCGGCAGCACGGCACGTAGAAATCACTATGTCGAGGCGACGCAATTTCGCAAGTATGTCGGACGTCGTCGGGGTTCGTTTTACAATACGACTACAGGATCCCGTCGAACAAATGTTGACCGCGGCTTTTGATACCCGAATAGCGAACAAGTCGTTTTGATAAATGCAAGTCGAATACCAAAGCGGAAACGCGGAAGAATGGCGACACGAGTTTCTTTGAAATCAGAATATTCTGTATAACCTTCCCCGAGAGAGGATAATCGTAGAAAAATCGTTGGAAACTTGACGTGAGCTTTAACGGTGTGAAGAATTGTATACAAAAAGATTTGTCCTCTTTCTGCCTCTCTCTCTCTCTCTCTCTCTCTCTCTCTCTCTCTCTCTGACGCTCGTACTTCGCGGAACATCGCGCGGTGTCTCGATGAATGGCTCGATCTTTGAATTGTTCACGTAATCGAGTAGAACGGATGGCGGGATCCAAAGCTCCGATTCATTTATCGATCGAGAGCACGTACGGGAATTTCATATTTGTGGCCACTCCAGTCGTTCACCTTCCAGACGATCACCTCCGCTCAATATCCAGTGTCCAATAAACCGCGGTACGTGCTAGAACACACACACACACACACACGCGCGCGCAAGCACACACGCATACACCGGTGAGTGGATACTCACACGGAGAAAGACGTTCTCGGGGCACACGTCGAAATCGTACGAGCCACCCCCGGGATGACCATCCCCTGGGCGCAGGGTTTTGGGGCGTCTTTTGGCTGCCGGGCTCCTCGCTCTCTCGTGCGCGCATACAGACGCACGACACGTACACACGCTCACGCAACACGCACACATATATATTCTTACGTACATAAGGCGGGGTGGGGGGTAGGGGTCTGCGAGATGGTGCGACGGTTAGGGGTTGCTGGTGTGTCCAGTCCACTCCAGTGGAGCCCAGGGCAGACCGTTCGATCAATAGAGGGTAGAGGCTACACGTTTCTAGGAGGTGGACACCCTGCTCTGCCACCCCTCGCATATGCCGTCGACGACGATCGCGCGCCGTGCCACCTTCCGTGCGATATCGCCGCCTCTCGTCCCTCTTGTCTCATGATTTCCGATACTTTCGGGGCTGCTCTCGTCGTGGCTCTCGTCTGTGCGAGAGAAAATGTCGCGAGCCTCGACAGATCTTCCGGCCACGCTCGTGCAGGAGGACGCTCTCCTCTCGCGAGAGCGAGGAGGCACGGCTCCGCCTTTTCACTTCTCATACGGTAAAATAGTTTCTGCAGCCCGCCGAGGATCCAGGAGACGTCTCATTATCGATATCGGCCTTGTGTTGTCTAAACGTCGCGATCGCAGAGTGACGAAACGCCGGGCTCTCCGCGTGGAGCTTATCGGCGCGCGACGATGACGTCGACGACGACGACGACGACGACGACGACGACGACGACGACGTGAAGATTTCACGTCGGCGTATCGCGGGAGTCAAGGTCGTCGACCTGCGGCCAATCGAAAATTACGAGGGCGCTTCTTCGCGACTTCGTACTCGCTCGGTCTTGATCCAATTATCTCGTGTCCCTTGTCGGGATCAGCGTGCTACGCCATTGGTCTGCATGGTCCGGACCGCCGGGTCGTTTGTTTTGTAAGTCTAATCGCAGAACGGCTCTCCGGTGGTCCTCCTCGGCTCTTTCCTCCATCTACCGCCGCAGCGCGGTCTCTCCCTTACCCTCTCCTCCTGCTCGGACCCCGGGCCTCGCGTCCCTCGCTTCTTCGTCCCCGTGCGACGGCGGCCGACGACCGCTATTTTATTTTTAAAAAACGACAGCCAAGCGCACTTTCGTTCGTTCGTTCGTCCGTTCGTTCGTTCGTTCGTTCGTTCGTTCGTTCTTTCCTTCCTTCCTTCCTTCCTTCCTTCCTTCCTTCCTTCCTTCCATCGTTCCATCCTTTCTTCCTTCCTTTCTTCCTTCCTTCCTTCCTTCCTTCCTTCCTTCCTTCCTTCCTTCCTTCCTTTCTTCCTTCCTTCTTTTCTTCCTTCCTTCCTTTCCTTCTTTTCTTCCTTCCTTCCTTCCTTCCTTCCTTTTTTTCTTTCTTCGTTCACCCGTTCACTCGCTCGCTCGTTCGTTCGTCCGTTCTCTCGGTGCAACCGAGGGATTCAACTGACTCTCTCTTGCGTATGATGGCGCCATAGCGAATGCTTCTAGCCGTGTACGAGGAAGAAAAAGCAAGTAGAGAAGGTACAGGAGAGAGGAGAGGAGAGGAGAGGAGAGGAGAGGAGAGAGAGAGAGAGAGAAAGAGAGGAACTCGGACGTGGATACGCTGACGATGAGGATAGCGCGCAAGGCAAGGCTCCGGGAAAATCCCATTCACCCTCGCGAAACACCATTATAGCCGCGAGACGACGCCATCATCAAGCCGACGAGCGAGCGGCTTGACGTCTCACCGGCTGATTGCACAAAATTAGCGAGATATTTGACAGCAATTTACGTGCGAGGGCCGACGATCGTTTGCGCCGTGAAATCGATTAAGCTGCTTTTCTTTTGACACTAGACACGCCGTGCGCGTAATATCCTCATTACTCGCGCGTGTGGAAACGATAGATCTCTCTTTCGCCGAGAGATACGAAGCGAGCAATTGCTGCAATAACGCGAAGAAGCGCGCGGCCGTGGCGTAAGCGGCGAGCGTAATCGCCCCGCTGAATTATTCCGCGGTCCGATTATTTCGGAGAGTTATAGCTTCGGTGTTGCCGCAGGGCCGAGGGGCTCGACTAACGTCGGGACAATTTGTTTTTGCTTTCCACACTCTCGCCAAGTGATCGTGCACGAAGCCTCTACACTGTCACGGATAATTGTGTATGAATGATCAAATGGGGAACGGGCGAAGACGAAACGAGTGCTTCCGACGTCCCGCCTACTTTTGCTCCGAAGAGCGAAACCGGTAAACTGTCTAATAATATGATGTAATTTGTATCTCTCTCTCTCTCTCTCTATATATATATATATAT